GAAATCTCAGTCGAAAACAGCTGTAAAATATCAGTATTATTTTACAAAAACCAAGCCTGCTCGTTAAACTGCTGTCACCTTGTTCCAATTTTATACAAACATATAACTTTGGAATGAGTTTGTTTCTGTGGTCAAGAAATTTGGGTGCTGTACAAGTACTTCCTTCAAACACTTTTTCAAATCTAGTAGCAGCAGAAGTATCCAGTCTTGCTGTTCAATCTCGTGCCTTCACTTTGATAGTTATTCTTTTGTTTTCATAGTGGAAATCAGGACATGTCACAGCACTTTTGCCTTTGTTTTGCCTCTGACCTTAATTCAAATTTCAGTCTTGGTTTGGTTTAATTGGAGTTTTCCTTCTTCAGTTCCCATTGTCTCTTCACTCCATACAAACTGCTTGATGCATGTTCTTTCGGACAACTCACTATTTTTGTTAGATTCTTGCTTGTTGCTGTTTGTGCATTTGAAGAGAAGGCCTGTAAATCACAGCTTCCTCAACGTTTCCGACATCAAGCCTCGGAGAGTACGATGCACTAATACTATGTACATCTATTTGAATGATGTACCAAATGCTGTAAATCATTATCTTCAGATTACAGCGCATTGAAAGTGCCTTGACCGCCGTATAGTTCCTCAAGGTTTGTGAGCACTGATTCTAAATTGAGTGTGTCTGTACTTTGAAGCGCAAAATAGTCCATGCGTTTTGTGTTCCTTTAGGCTTGACTTTGTGGCATGGCTTTTGTCACGTGCGCTAGGGGTTGGTGGGAGGAGGTAGGGAATTGGAGGTACGTGCTTTGGAGCAAGCAAATTAACATGCGTGTCTGTCACAATGGCTATTTGCACTGAGGGTTTGAAGGTACCGCCTTCCCTCCCTACCCCCCTGGCATTTTGCATCACGTCAACCTGCACTCGGGGGAAAAAAAAAACAGGTGCTTCTTGCACAAAACAAATTTGGCCCTTGCTCCTTGGCCAGACTGAACTATGCACGTGCAGACTGCACAGGCAACATTTGCTTCATTTCAGCTCTTTTACCGACTTCATTGAAAAGCGGAATTCAAAGCGCCGGGGGCGCATTAGCAGCAAACTGGTAAATAATGTATTGAAGCACCTAGGGACTTGGGCTGCCCAGTGCTGGCAACTTGCAAACAGACTGGCGGGGTGCCAGTATTTGTTGCTTCTTGTAGGTCCGTAAAAGTGAATTATATGTAAGACAATCTTTCATGTGTCTGCATCTCTCCATTGGGAAATAGGTCAATCTTTGTGCATATCAGGTTTCTTTTTACATATAATTGACGGGTCTGATGTAGCCAGCAGGTGGGACCTGTTGCAAGAAGATGGCTATTTGGACCAGAGATGTTTTTATACTATTGAATCTTTGATCGGGTTCAACACTGACCGAAGTGATTCGACATTGAACTTTGGAAACTGGGGATCAAGATTAATTCAAGATTTACAACCATGGTGCAAAATGAGAATTGGTTTGATTTGAGTGAGTGGAGTGGATATGTTGGAACTTACTCTGCAAATACCTTTTCTGTGATGAACCTTCGGATTGGAGGGAAATGCGTGTACATCCAGTTACAGTGTGATGAGGGTTTTTATATCAAGTATAATTTTATTCCATGACAAACCATTTGGGGTACAGTACATGTTTACAGATTTTCATTAGAAAAGAAATGGCAAAATGACTGGTGTGAAAAAATTGCACCGACGGTGCCAAGTCATGTGATATTCAAAAAATAGCACTGACGGTGCCAAGTCAAGTGATATTCAACTGGCTGCATGCATGCACTATTCAAAAGGTTTGTGTAATTGGAACCTCACTAGTAATTCAACATTGGCCTAGAAGTAATTTAGTGTGCAATAATTAACTTGGGAACAATTACAAACATGCATGGGCATCGAGTTGATTCATAATGTGGGCTGGTACCCACCATCACTTATCCATCAGCCACTCAAGAGACAAGGGACTACAGTTTCTGTATAGCCCGTGAGCAGCACACCTAAGTCAAAGTGCATTGATTTGGATGGGGGGGGTTTAGCTATACAGTACACATGCGACTTAGCACTGTGCTAGCGAAATTCATCACCCAGCACAGATTGTTGATTGTAAAAATTTTATAGTGTCAGTAGTTTGTGAATGGATCATCAAGAACAGGGCACCGAGGTACATCATAGACCTCCAAAGATCGATGATGCACCCATGAATATTGACCGTCCTCTCCCCGAGATTGCATCATACAATTTATAGATACGTTAAAATCCCCCTCCCCCAAAAAAGGGATAAGCCAGAGCACTTGTGAGCACTTTGCTGGTCCTTTTAATCCAACCCTCAACTAAAATAAAAGCAGACCTGGAAATATGTACACGGGCCGTCACCAAGGGGAGGCCCGAGGGGGCCGTCCCTCCCTCCCCCCATCGGGAGGAAGCTGTCCCCCCCCTTCGTTCTTGTGATGTGGCCTCTCAAGCTGATGCTGTGGCACCCCTTAGTGCCTGAAGCTGGCAACAGGCTGCATGTACATGTAGGCCCCTATATGTAAAATAGAATTGGCTAAAACAAGCCTGGCTTTCTCTGATGGCATTATGATATACATGTACTTCTGTCTGTCTGTCTGTCATAGAAATAGCTATAGTAAAGGAAATAAAGAAAGATCAAAACGTGGAAGTCGGTAATTATGTTTTGAGACAGCAACCACTTGTTCTTGGCAAGTTGCTTCAATGGATGCATCCTTTGAGTTTTGTAAAAAAAAAAACAACCTAGAATTACAAACAGAGAAACTACTGACTGTTGACATTTCAAGTCAAATCCCGTCCTCCCCTCTGCTTGGTTCCCTTCCCTACTGTAATCATCAATTGGATTGTAATAATCCCTGGTACCCCTCGGGGACCACGCATACATTCAATGTGACCAGTGTCCCACTTCCACTCCAACCAGGCACATTTATGTGTCACATCCCGCTGGGCAAAAAAGCAAAAAAGTGTGTTAACGGTGCGAGTGATGGCACAGAATCCAGAAATCTGTAACGCCGAGACCCGCCTACAAAATGGCAGCTGACCTTCTTTTGGAGAGTACAAGGTCATTGACTTCGTTGCGTTGCCTCACAATGTGATCTGATTTACCCACTTAGCATGGGGACCCGTTTCATTCAGTGGCCCCTCGAGTTAGTTAACTGGGGAGTGCAGGCCACAGCTTGGCATGATAACAGACGAAGAAGAGAAAGAGGGCCCCCAGGGTGAATTACGCATAGGGGATGCAGGAAGCAAGACTGAGCAATAGGTATATATGGAAATCAAGTCAGGCCCTACCTTTGACACAACCAGGTTTGGGAACCGTAGTTGCCAGCCTGTTGATAATGTCAAATTTTGTCTGCGTTCAGTGCGGCTAGCATGTTGCACTTGTCCCAAAGCCCGCATCCAAAATCTGCCTCTGGCAACATCGGTCGTGTTATTTGACATGATCTAATTTCTCCGCCCAGACAGGGACCACAGTCACGGGAAAGTATTTGTGGGTGAGGTGTGTGTATCATGCCAGGTAGCAGTTGCAGACCTGACATCTCATCATTTGCAGTGTCTCACTCGTTTTTTATGTGAATTTTTTCAGCATCAGCTTTCATGTTTTTCTCCTTTGAGCAGAGAAAAAAAAAAGCATAATCCTTAGCTATTCTCGTCGCAACTGACAGGGAGATTGACTCTTTGAGACAGGAATTGAACCCACATGCCCTTACTTACTTATCATGACATTTTGTCTTCATCTAAATGTAGCTTGAGAACTAGTGTTACTTGGGTAATTGGCTTGTTGACTGATACATGTACATTTGTACATATGCCATAACACAAGGGGGGGGCAGTACATGTACGTTATCCTCGCATTCATATTGTTATACTGTAACCGGACTAGAAGTCTGGAATCAGAGAGCGATCTCTGTTTCCAAATAATCAATTTAGTTTAATGTCAAATTGACAGATTGATTTTTTTTATGTGTCCATTTTTTAGACTGCAAAATGAGAATGATAAATTCGCAAGAATGTGAAGTGCTCTCTTTGGTTTTTCTCAAAGTGTAGCCTGCGTGCTCAATCACATTGACATGAGTAAAATGTTTTTGGGTGCTGAAACCTTGCAAAAACTTCTAACCGTTGGGGGAAACTGCTTACCTTGACTGGTCACGCTTACTGTGGTATGTGTCATATGGACTTGAAAATGCTGAACACATCGTAGTCATAGCCAGTTTGATTTGACACCATCCTGCTACAGAAATCTACCTGCTGTATCCAGCATGTGACAGATGTATAATGGAATATAGAATAGTTAAGGCATTCACAGATGTCCAATTATCATGGGCTCATTCATTGCTAATGGGGGCCAATAGAGTGTCCTACCCTGCAGTTATGTCTACGTGTACTTGTGTCATTGCTGCAGATAATAAGCTTTTTGAGATTAGTAAGCAAAACCTACTGGATTAGACTTGCATTCAGCAGTGCACATATTTGTATCTCGATCTTCCTGTCTAGTTGTTTTTCTACATTTATCATCTTCTTGTCTTGCTTACAGTCATTTGGGGACATAACTAGAAGAATACATAGGTTGGGTCTTAGTTTCAGATATTTCAAAGGCTACGTGCAGGTCCTTTTTCCCTCCAAATCCTGGGCGGGGTCACAAGAGGACACAGGCCAGGTGTGTGTGGGTGGGAGGGGGCTGGTTCTGCTGAGGGTGGCTTGGAAAAGGGGAGGAGTGCAATACAGTAAAGTGGGTCTCATCCTTCAGCATTGCAGGTGTACTGAGATGAAGATCTACCTTCCAGGGACGATCTGAGAATTATCAGGATTTCTTGAATTACCAAATTACAGAAAGTTTCTCAAAAGAAAAGGAATGCCCACCTGAGGATTGTAACCCAAGTAACATGTGGGCTGAAAAGATCTCTTGTGAAAATGCATTAGCATCGTCCATCATGTTTCCTCGTACAAGCCACTCAACCAGTTTTGTTCTGTCTTTTCCTCTTGACTAGTCCAAGGACGAGATCAAGGAGAGACTGGCCAAGCACATGTCAGACCAGTGGGACAAGATAGCACAGTTTGCCGAGTCCATCCCGGGCTTTACCGCCTTCAGCAAAGAAGATCAGGAGATACTGCTGCAAGTGGGTGAGTGGCGAGTGGACGCAAATGGAGCTCAGGCACATAGATCAAATGGAAAGTGCTCGCAAGTAGCAAGTAGCCTCACTTTTTTTAAAGGACAATCAGTATTCAATTTCTTGATAAGGTGCAGTTCTACTCGGGTTTCTACAAAAATTGTGTTAGAACATCGATTTTTGGTTCTCAAATTGTTCGTTTCAAGTGAACAATCGTTGTGAAAAGCTTACTATAGTTTAGTCCATGCGGGATATTATTAAGTATGCTTTTGCAGTCAGAAATTTTCATTTCATTTGTTTTTTTAAACTTTCCTCGTTTTTTTTTTGGCGCTGGTGCGTAGCAATCATGCATTTGAATTACTTTGTTAATCCCAACAGTTCTGAACCCTCTTTCGGAGGATTGAGGATTGTGAAGCCCACTACATGCAAGAGGCATCTGTTGAACACAGTAATCATTCATGACCATTTGTTTGGCACGTACAGTATCTCATGTGTGCAGGTAATTTTTGGCTGCGTTTTGTGCCTCAATGGTCCGTTTCACAGAAAACTGAATAGGAGATACAATTGCCTCTCGGGCTGTGGAGACAGGTAAAGGCAGCAAAAATTAACCGCAGACGTGAGCTACTTGCTGGCCACGAATGAATTACTGCCTAGCAGATATCTTTCATGCGCAGTGGGCTCAAGGATTACATAAAAGAAAACCATGGATTAGAAAATTGATGGAATTTTGGCTTGTTTGATTTCAGGAGGGCTTGAGGTGATTCTGTTACAGCTGGCTCAGATGTACGATCATCGGACACACCTATTACAGATGTGGGAGAATGAGTGGTTATCCTCAGAGCAGGCCTGTAAACTAAGTAAGCTACCCCATCAGGGAACCGCTGAAGAACTTCAGATGGACTTCCTTAATTCCTTGGAAAGAAATTAATAGTCTTTTCCCCTTGGTAAATCAGTTGAAAATGTTCAGATACAGTCACCAGGATTTGTCAGTTATTTTCATCTCTCTGCTCTACTACTGGGATTATCATGTTCAGTTCAACTTCTTGTGATGTGTTCCAGGTTAAAGGAAAACTTAGGCTTCGAGTTTACATCAATTTGCATTGGGGGACCTTGTGACCTACGATAAAAGTTGGCAAAAGTCCAAGTTTGGGATTTAATAGGAGACAACATCTGGTCGTTGCTGTGAGGATTGTCATCCTTGTTGGTGTGCCAGGATCTCTTAATAGACTGTTTTCAAGTTTCAATGGAGCTCCACTTATTGAGTAGGAGTAGGTCAGACAAAAATTCACCATTCACATACACAGACCTCCCGACCCTCCTGATTTGGGCAGAAATTTCACACTTTTTCACTTCATTTCCACCATTCGGATTTCCGAAAATAAAATTGATTTATTTCTGCTAAATCACAATTTTGACACGCCTATGTATTACCCGAAACTGACCGTGTATCTTGTGCATGTACCATAACACGACTTACCCGACCTACCCGAACAGTCAGTGCAGTGCACGTTGTGTGAGCCATGCCCCTGTCGGTGCCTTCTTTTGATGCGTACCAGCCACGAGATGGGCGTGATACATGAATGTGATACCGAAATCGTTTATTGACGAAAACGCCCTCTATCAACAAGCTACATTGTAACTAATATTGTATGCGTCACGCGGTGCCCAGTTTCACTAGGAACCTTAGCTAAGAACGTTTGGATCCAAGACTAAGCACTGCTGTGAAATCAACCACGATCATGTCAAGTGTGCAAGCACCACATGGTGAATTATTCGCTGAATTTCGCGGTGAATTAACACATTCAGGAGATGAAAACTTATTGCGGACCATTTCAGATGATGTAAACTCTTGTGGGAATCAAAATTTTATGACATCGATGAGTATGTGGTACCGTACGTAGTGCAACCCGTCTGTCCAGGTAAAACCGTGCCCCCTTTTCTCTCGTCTCATGCCCTCTCAACCAATCAAAATGCTGGATTTTGCTTATGGACAGCTTCATTAACAAAAAAAGGGAGCCGGCCCCTACCATGTTTAGTAGGGGTGCTCAACTGAGTGAGGTTTATAAGAAATAATATGCAACGTTGTATGTAGAGAGTACTTTATAGAGCATGGGACTGAATGGGTTTATCTATTGTAAATTAGGATTGTATACCAAATCATTTCACAGGAGGTTGATACACTCAAAACAGTACAAAAAATCCAATAATATCATAATAAGAATGAATAAATAATGCACATAAGAAATGTATACAGACAGGATACAATAAAGCAGTTAAGTTTAAATATGGTTTTGGCCTTGGGAAATCATAATCCTACAAACGTACCTACGATTTAAAAATGGGACATTCCTTAACCTGAACTGCGTGCATTCATAGTGGCTTTTGTTCACAAGAAGGGAGATTCCATGACATCACTTCACCTATGACTCATCGTCTCATGGCCATCATTTCATAAGAAAGGTCTATGTGCCAAAATTGTTTACCCCATGCTATGTCTTATTCATATTTTATTCCATACACAAGGTCATTTTGTACCACACTCTCTGACCCTATGCTACGCCTATCCCTTTAAAGAGGTCATCTTGTGCTAGACAATTTATCCTACATTCATTCCTATTCATAATTGTTGTGATCATAATTATTATGCTTATGCATATTGATGTGACCTTTTGCTATTTTTGTCGTAAAGGTCAAATTGTGCCAGACTGACCCCCCACACTACTACTGTACATCATCACGGACACAAATTAGACTTCTGTACAGTGCATTACTGATGTTCACTTGTTCTTTTTTCATGAAAAATTCTGAATTTTGGGGAGAAGGATTCCAAATTCTTGATAGTCAAATGTTCGGAGGTCTGCGTTTTGTGCTGGGACTCGTCCATTCTAGATGAGTTTGCCCAGCCTCTGTTTTGTACAGGTTCCCAACATCAGTAAGCCCTGGTCACAATCTATCTGTGCTCCCTGAAGGAGTGACAAGTAATCCGATGAAAGCACTGATCAACCTGCTCCACATTGGTTGTCCAGGTGCATCGGACAACCAATAAAATGGTAGTCTGGTGTGATGGGATGAGACAATGCCGTATTTTTGCCAAGAGAGATTGTATTGATGTTTGGCCAGGGAGGTCTGACAAGCACTTGAAGTCCATGATGCATCACTCCAGGTGACTGTTTGTGACAGCCAAGGGTGTCCCCTTGCTTTCAGCCAACTCAGCAGTGCTTTGAAATTCATACAGATGCACCAGTACTTACCCATCATGCCTTGTATTAGTCGACATTTTGACTGTAGCTTCTGTCATCGCCCGGTCATAATGACATGATTGTTTTGCGACTCTTTTACAAGATGGTTTTAGACACAATTTGTTCAGAAATGATCTTAAATAAATCCATTCATGATTAATTTGAATTTGTCTGAACTTGAAATTTGTCCTTCCCTTTCCTGATGAAATACTGAGCCCAAAAGTAGCCATTTGTTCTCTTGCCGTCCACTCCAAGTGTGACAGTAGTCTGTGATTGACCCCCTGCTTGTCCATTTTGGTCATCTTACCGTCTTTCTTACACACATCTTTGATGTGCAGCAGTGGATAGTCAGCTGGTAGGAATGCTGTGTCAAACTTTCTATGAAGGGACTTTTTCAAGTTTTTCAGTTTTCAAAATTCTTCAAAATTCATTACTTCAATTAATTGATGTTTACATATAAACACACGGTGCCTTAAACCGGGCTCCCCGGCAGGAAGTGGTTAATTTGTGCAACTTTCAGTGCAAAAGGCGAGAGTGCCAAGGTAGCACTTTTAGTGTTTTCTTTCAGCTGGTTATTAAATCCACACTCTCATGCAAAGACTTGAAATGAATGCAGTAGCTTTTATTGATGTGCTCGTCAATCTCAGTGTCAAGTGGTAGGTTGCTTTCATTAGAGGAACCTAGAGGAACATGAAGCTGTTGACAGCTTCCAGCATCTTGCTGTCAGAGCTGTTTCAGTGTCATGTGGTTGTGCTTGGCCCAAGATATTTGTCATCTTGATGCTGATCATTGGCCCAAACCCCCTCCACGGGAGGGTGAGTCTACTGACCAGCTGCTGTACGTGTTGGTCTTTGGCACAGAGAGACTGGCAGTGTGTCTCCGATGAGGACCAGATGGACCTAGCTCTTGGCTGAAGGGGCAGGCGAGGTTGAACAACTTAAGAGAGAGCCCCTTCCCAGGGTTGTCTGAAAGCGTAGAGCACTGAGAACAGTCAGTGCCCACTTGAGAGGTCTAGTGCCTTTGGTCAGATCGATGACAGCAATATAGAGATGCACCTGCCTCTAGTAGAAGCCGAAGGAGGGCTTCAAGTAAAGCTAGTTTTCCACACTTGATGGCGTCTGGTGTAATGGAGTGGTTTCCTAGTGGTTTTCCATAGACAAGGCACTGGCTTGGTATCTACATGTAGTTCTCTTCACATGCCTAAATACTTACAGATGCTTAAACAGTAAAGGCAGACATGCATCGTGGGTCACTCTAAAAGTCACATATTGCAGTTAAAATCAGTATCTATGCAAACATGTGTTTATCGCAGCCAAACTAATTTACAAGTTCATCCAGAGGTCGAACACAGGTTTATCTCACTTGTTTAGGAGGGTTTGGCACACATTGCAGCCATGTTGCCAGTACGCTTGGAATGAAATCTAACAAAAGTACTCGACAGTTGTTGATAACATTTGTTTGTGAATTTCATTGCAGTTTTTAAACAAATTCAAAGCATGCTTAATTTCGTCTGTGAAGTTCTTACAGCTGTTTTAGAAACCTTGTTTTTACTTAAATTACACACTTTGATGAAGTTTATCAAAGTAACAAATGTGGGGAATGACAAATTACCAGTGTCAAATCCTTCGTGTAGTCTTATCACTCGGATTTGATTCTTGCTATACAACCTTATACATGTATTGACTACTCTTAATTTCTCTCTCTGTTGCTCTTTAAATCTCCATTTTGTTTCAGTTATGATACATGTACATGGTCATGAAAGATGTAGTTCATGTAATGTGTAAATGACTAACCTGTTGGTGTTGTCTTTATGTCAATTTCAGCAAGCGATTTCAACCTGACGGTGTTTTTTGAGTTGTTGTTTGGCCTAGCGGAGAGCCTGAGATCCATGCATTTGAGGGAGGACGACTTGGCTCTTTTTTCAGCACTTCTTCTTTTGGCGTCAGGTATGAGACTGGAATGCGTTTTCTGATGTGTAAAGTGTCGCATCCATTGTTTTCTTTGTTTTTACTCATCAATCTTTTATCCATCTGGTGGATGACTCACCAGATGGATAAAAAGTCAACTATTTCAGAAATTTCCAAGCATCTGTTGCTACTTCAACTTCCAGGGGGGAGGGGGGACATTTTGTTGACTGATCCACTTACACCTGAAGGAGGTGCTTTGATTCGCATCATAGATGAAACGTCTTTTCTGAAACTGCCATGTTGACATTTCCAATGTAATTTTGGAGAGGGATTTTGCTGGCTTTGTGGGAAAGGGAAGTTTACAGTCAGGAAACTGTGGAAGGCTGGGCAAAATGTTGTGATGAAAAGACAGTCCTTCACGGCTGAAAGGACTTCAAAACTGCTCCAACTGTGCGTGTGGATCATGACGCTGTTATGTAATGTGAAAGATACATGTGTGTTACTGTGTGTTCATGTCCGAATTGTGTTTTACATTATTTGGAAATCTGCCAACATCACAAAAGGTGGAAGACCCAACAGACAGTAAAACCCACACGCAAAAACCTCAGCGTTTGTTTCTTTCTTCAAATGAAGCAATGCCATTATAGTTGGAAAAATTGATGAAACTACCATCATCACAATACCAGCATCACAATGAAATTGATAGCCGTTGCAGTAATTTATGCATCAAAAATTTTGTACATGGGTGATTCCATCATTTGTGTAATTCATACATGTATGCATATGAATCATTAAATTCTTCATGTATTGGAGTAAATATGATTAATGAGTGGACACACAGATATCGTAAAACAATTTCTAGCATGTTGACTTTCTATTTTATAGATCACCAGGGTTTAAGGCACAAGCGACAAGTTGAAGAGGTCCAAGAGAAAGTGTTAAACTGCTTTGCCTATGTCTTGGCACAGAACCACCTGCAGGAACCCGGACTCTTGGCCCAGGTGCTAATGTGCATGCCCACACTACGTACCATTAGCACCAGCTATCTGGAACTGACGTCTGTCTCCACGCCCACACAACAGTGGAGTAACTGGCCTGTAGAATTGTGACTAGATGTCCAAGGCCGAGCGTTGGCAGATCCCACGGCAGACACTGCCACAGCAGCCACTGTTCCTTGGTCAGCGTCTCCCTCTCGTCCCACTCAAGCAGCTTGTCTACCATCCGACTCTACCACACCATGCCAGGACACAAGGACAGACTCAGTGCATGCTGCCTCTGGTAATTGCTCAGTACTTCTGGAATTGGTTTGAACCAAAAAAAAAAAAATTAAAAATACAAACAGAGAACGCTGGGAAAGAGCATTCGATGAAAGCTGTGTGTAGCATTGCTTGTCTGGACTGCGGATGATTGAACCTAACCAACACCGTCAAAACACACCCACTCACCCACGCACAGGAGACATAGAAGGCTGTCTGGCTGTTGCATAGGATGTCATTCAGAAAGGTCGGCTTTTTAGGTTGGTTTGAGATGGCTTTACGCAATGAGGAAATACATCTGTGGTCCAGCTGTCTGTTGTCTGCACGAATGCATGCGTGCTGCCTTGGTTTTGGAGCTCCACTCCGATGCTTCAGCTCATCATCTGCTGCATGGACGGCATCGGTACCTGGGAGGAAAGGGGGGGGGTGGAGTAGAATAAGTCTCCATCTTGCACTCGGTGACATTGGAAACGTGAAGAGATAGGAAGGCGGCACTCAAAACAGGGCAGTTGCAGCAAACGGGCAATAAGGATTAACCACTGCAGTGTGTCCTCTACACACCAGGTCGGATACTGGACTTTTCTCGTAAATTCCAGCAAGTGAAGAGTATCATCAGGAGGCTACGCAAGTGTCCGGTCTCAACTATATGCAGCAATACTCAAACAGAGCATAAATATAATGGGGAAAAAAAAGAGGCTGCAAATGTATGCAAACAACTTCTCTGAAGTTGAGTTCAGTCTTAGCAGTTGTTTGTCTGCACATTCAATCAGTCAAGCGCTTGTGTCATACTATGGAAATACAACATACTACAAATGTGCAAAAAAAAATACACCAAAAAAGTCAAAAAAAAAAAAGAAAGATAACTTTTTAAACTGTGATCGCATGTCGCATGAGCTGTTGTACCAGTATTTGGCACATGCGCTAGAAGTGTTGCATTGAGAAAAGCTACCCCTCCCAAAATTTGTACAAAGGTTTACACAAATTATATATAAAGATAAATCTCTTTTTGTTCATTCACTGCTCAGTCTAGATTTTGTGTTTAAAAAAAAATGATGTACATTATAATTAAAACGTCTTTTTTATTTTCTGAGTATGCGCTGAAATCAACAGGGATTTACAAAAAGAATAATAGTATGTTTATTGTGAAGAAACATACCATGTAGCTTTGAACATCTTGCCTTTGAAGAAAGCTAATTTCATTATAACGAGGCAAACAAAAGGGAACTTATTTCCTGACATATTAACTGACAAGCTGACGCAACCAAAGACATATTTTGAACTCGTTATTTTGATAGGAGTCACTGTTAACTTCAGACGAGAAATAATTCAAAAGCATGATTAAAGTGTGTTGGGAAGTCGCACGAAGGATGTTGGGGATCTGTTTCCGACCCCATGGAAGAAGTTAAGAGGTGTCTTGCGCTAGCTTGATACAGTAACATGATATGAAAAGGCCTCGAGTTCTGAAGGATAAAGCAAAACAATGATACTTGTCCCCAGTATGTATGTATTCATTTATATTCTGTAAGGAACATTATTTTGTCAATGAGATTGTCTCATTGTGATGGGTCTGTTCACATTGACAGGTCATCCCCCAGTGTTGTATGTAAGTCCATCACAAGTCCCTGTCGGTCCATCACAAGTCCCTGTCGGTCCATCACAAGTCATTCAGTCTTAAGCCAATTCACAAGCTGTTCAAGTGAGCTGTGACGAAAGCATTCTTTTGTCATTGTTCACCCTGTTACTTTATGATGACTGGCCTTGTGAAGGGACATGTGATGGACTTGAACACAACACCGTCATCCTTCAGTTGGTGGGTTCAGAGATCAGGTCAATTGTTGACTCTGGCAGAACATGTACATGTAAATGGCTCAGTGTGTTCCATCAGGGACAGCCAATTAAGTCAAGGTACAAGGCCTGTGCATGAGTCCTGCCTACCTGCATGTAATTAACTAATCCAACACCAACCTTGTGATAATGTCACAGAAGGGTGCACCCAAGTGCATAACAAATATCCCAGTGAACCTCCACCTGTATCCTCAAGCAGCTTGCAGCTGCAATTCAGGGCATATCTAGTTGGAATGCCCTTATCACAGAGCACTGTGAATGATGAGATGTTAGCCTGTAGGTATTGCAGCAGTTATGAACAAGATTTGCAGCTATGTTTTACCGTCATTCGTGTTTCATATATCACATGTACACTTCTACTGGGAAAGAGTAGGCCCAATGCAATACACTCCTACTTGAAACAAAACAAATGGCCAGCCCAAAATGTACAGAAATGCGGAAATATCAAAGGTTTACATAACTGCTCCACCAGGACACACTGTAGAGGTATATTTGTATGGCTTTTCACGTTGTACCTAGTGGCTTTCAGTCTGGACTCTCAAGCTTGCTTTTGCCACGTTTGTGTAAATTTCATATTTCATACAACTTTGCATTCTTTTGGTTTAAAAATGAATCTGGATTTTCCTACAAAGGAACACGTCTGTTGTGTAATTTCCTTTGATCATCTTCACTTGAAGACATTCACATCAGCATTTCAATAGTTGTAAAACTGACATTAAGCATGATTGTAATAACATATCTTTTTGTTGTTGTTTTGGCTGGCTTTTTATCTGAGGAAAATATGCAGAGAGTAGATACGAGGTGCTTGGATGTTAACGGCCTGTTGACTGGCTGGCCATTGTTGATAGCATGGATGAGATGAGAAGGCATTCAAGCTCTTGACCGGCAACCTGCCAGAGCATAGATCCTTGACTTGTACAGGTTCCTCGAGAACAACCACAATCCCAGTCTTGGGTGCTTTGAGTTTTGAAATTGTCATTTTTGTTTCTTTGTTTTCCTTCCAGCCCAGCTCACGTCTTACACGAATCCAAACTTGTTTGTGCATTATGTAGTCAACTGATTATTTGTAATGTGATGGTGTGATGATTGGCCGGGGACTGTGACAGACCCACTCCTATCTAAGTAATTCTCAAGCGGATTAAAGCTGTAAAAATGCAGCAGTTAGCTTCAAAAATTTACTATAAAGTTTGAGCCTAGTCACAAAAGGTACAACCTGGCTAAAACATCAGTGCTGATATCATTTGAAATTGAGAAACATTGCCTTTTCTTCTCATCTTCACGTGAAATCCGTTGAAGTAGTCATTTACAAATAACTGTTCAGTGTTCACCTTTGCATCAGTGCTTTGCTGAAGAAGTTTGTGCCATTCCAAGAGAAACTATTTTGCCCCCTAAAATCTTGAGGATCCATAAATACACCAGCGACAATCCAGGAAAACAAAACTTAATTTCCCATTTGAATGTGTCTCATAGGATTATTGTTTAATATTTGAATTCCATGTGAAATGAGGTGTTTGAGGATGCTTGTCCTTGTGATGTCTCGGCATGTTATAGATTATATTCCAACGATGATAGATTCCCCCAGCATGGTACTGATCATGGGAACATACCCCCCCCCCAGGTTCCAAAAATGGTAGACAGTTGAATACGCTGGCGTTATAAACCTTAATACCAATGCTTCCAAATGTACACAGAGAATATTATCCCTTCAGCAGCCTCCATAAGATTAAAAGACAGAAGTTTGTCTCTCTCTTTTTTTTTTCAAGCTGTCTCACGGAGCGGATTCTCGTTTGAAGCTTTTAAATTTCTTAATGAAATTCAGCCTTCAAAATGAATAGCTTAAGAAATTCAGTGTTTTGTTAGGGAGTTTAACAGAATATTTGATAACATACAGTGTAAATGCCAATGAAGAACTTGCAGTTTAAAAAGCGAAATTAATGGCCAGAAAAGAAACTACTTTTTAATTCAGTTTTGAAAAAAAAAACGAAGTAGAAATGATACTCACCTAAGAACTTGGACAACTTTCAGCTCTGTAACCTGTCCTAGAAATATTTGTATGTATTTATATGTTTTATTATGGTGTGCCTCAGAATGGCCTGGACAATAATTGTTTGGTGTTTATTTGGTTCTGTTATGCTTCATTTTGGTCGCAGGCATTTTAATAGTACCTAAAAATTCATGTTGATAATGTTTATTTTGTTTCCATTGGTCTGTTTGCTGCAAGTTGGTATGCGTCATATTGCAGATGCATTAACTAATCATTAAAATAAGAAAAAGATGGAATGGGAGTTGAAAGTGTTGCGTTGTCAAATGGTTAAACCCATGACAATAGATTGTAAAAATAATTTAGCAAACGTACGGACGTCATGTTCTCTTGCACCAAGCTTTCCCCTTTGTGAAGTAATTGTTTTGTTGGAAAAAGACCAGTTTGGTTTCTTCTCAATTTGCCATTCACTTCAAAGTGATTTTTCTGATCACTTTTGAGGGGCCTATACTTATTAGATGGTAAGATGCATTTCCATTGAGGTATTTGGTTAAGCTGAAACTCGATTTTAAATTTGTGCTAGGAGATTTCATTTCATTTGCGATGTAATTCATGATAGAAACCTGCCAATTTGGTTCTACTTGACAGCAACTTTGTCTTCTGCAGTTAGAGAGCAGTCCTGTCAAAGCAAAGTCATCTTTTGCCATTTATATAGTGATTGGGCCATTTAGGGCTGTGCATTTATAGGTATTTTTGGAACGAAGTACCCTTAAAATAGAACGAACACTTAACAAATGGCATTGGACCATGTGCCGGAAACAGCACTCTTTTTTCCATACATGGGAAGCAGCACATTTTTCTGAACATTGAAGCCACCTTTTTCTTAAACGAAGTGTTGCCTTCAATTTGTAACAAACGTAGCTCCCTTGATCTCTGAAATGGAATTTTGGTTTGCCAGCAATTCTGCCCTTCACTATTATAGTTCACATACATTTGATATTTGGAATTTTGTCCAGGTACCTGGCCTGAGAAAATGGAACCAGGATTTTATATCGACAGACGGGTACCCGGGTACCTGGCGCAGGCCTAGGGCCATTCAATTCTGTCAGTGTAAGGTTGAAATGCTAATGTTGGCGATTTGTTAGTGAAGTCTGTTGGAGCGGAGTGTTTCACTTTCCAAAATTCTGTCATCTCTTTTATTCTATGGATGGAAGAAAATTGTAAAATTGTTGGTGTCCTTTTTGTTGAGTTCTGAATTTCAAGAACGATACATGTAAGTGCAAATCATGGAGGAAGATCAATATATATTAGCAGTGCTTCTCTTGAGAGTAATTCCTTGTTCTATCTTTGAGGGCTTCAAAGAAACAGTGTTATTATTTATCCAGCTCCTTGGTACAAATGTACATTTGGGTATCCCTACATTTACATGTAACTGAATTCAATGAGAAGTCAGTGATGACATCCGCATTTGTTGAACTGTTGACAGCAGCTTGCTACTTGCATGAGACAAAAGTGCAGGAATGTTGTAATCATGAACTACATGCGCATTGTACACTGCAAACGAAATGAAACTTAATGTTGCCAATTCGGTACCAAATTTCTTATTTTTAAGCCCATGAAATTAAAAAAAACATGTACTTTTGTGTGAAATACATCTTGTTTGATGAATTAACTGGGAAACTTGTATCAATGACCATAGTCCATGAGTAAAATAACATCCACTAATAAAGAAAAACAACTATTGGGCAACAAAGTTGAAGTTAATAAAAGACCCGTAATATGGTACTCACAGGGATCAGTTAAGTATTTCTCCCATAAATTATCTTTAGAAAAAGATACTAATTATAAAGATATTAATGTCAAAGTTAAATGAGCTGTAAAGAGCACTTTTAGACCAAGAAAATGCCATGGGCTGCATTGTATCGCATATGTACTGGCAGTTTTGTTTGGATTTTTTTTTTCAACTTGCTGTTTCTTTGTAGTGCTATGCAATACTGTAAATGATGGTTGTAAGAATGAGTTTGAAACAATTCCTGAGAAACATTTTGGACAGACACTCTCCAAAATAAGTTCTTTTCTAACTGGCAGTTTGTCGCAGGTTTTTATATAAACAGCGTTTACTGCAAAATAGATACTTCATGAATTAGACAACCCTTGTTTTGCATCAGAAACATTGTTTTGGGGTTTTTTTTTGGCCCAAAATGTGCCAGACTTAATTTTGGTGTGGACAACATTCTGAAATAATTTTTCTTTTTTCAAAGAACTTTGTAGGGGAAGCTCTTTCAGCATTCTCACGCTTATTTTTCTATGTGATTTGATTGGATTGGATTGGTGTCGTTTTTTTATTTTGGAGTTTAGTTGTGATTGTTTCTGCTGTTTTGTTAGATGCAAACAATCCAAACTGCATGGTAGCCACTGAGGCAAACACAGGGTAATAAAGGGACTGAGCACTTGCTTCTCATTGTAAAGAGGCTCTTGTTGTAAGGCACTCATTTGTGCTGGTTTTTGCTGGATTATTCAGAGAGAAAAGAAAACTCCCTTTTTCAGTTTTAATAAATATTGAAAAATCAGCATTGTTTTGGAGCACACCTTGGCGTACCAGGTTCTGTTATTTCATTTAAGTGCAATATTTTTGATTTGACAAGTTTTCATAGAATAACATGAATAAAACAATTTACAGCTGTTTCTCAAAAAATAACAGGTGGTCAAAAGTTATGATACAATGTATGTAAAATGCAAATACAACTTACGAAAATCCAACCAAAATATCACGTTTACATGCATTATGTGAAATGGGGAGCACCATAAAAGGCAAACCTAACTTATGAAAAAAGTTCAATAGACACCCGTTGACTGGTCGAAATGGGGGTTTCTATGCGGTTACCCTGCATAATTAATTACTGCACGCATGTGAAAGACTACCCGCCCCCACCCCGCCAGCGAAAAAAAGGAAAACAGTTACAAGGATGAAAAAAGCAGCGCAGCACTTGAACTCTCAGAGGCTATTAAAAAAAAACAAATACCTCAGACAGTCTGCCTATTCAAGGTGTAACTTGACCATGTATTAACATTTGATAATTCCTGCTGCGTAAATCATGCACCGATACCTGGATAGGAGATGGTTTGATAGATTCTGATTGGTCGAGTGTGTGCACACGTCCATATAAGGAGATTCACTTGGACTACTATAAAATAAAATTGATGGAGGTGTTTGGAAAAATAAAAGTAAAATTCCAGAACTAAATCAATGGAAATCCGTCATATATTGACTTCTTTTGAGTATGATTGAAAAAGGTATTTATGAATGGGAATAAATATGTGCTGGCCGGTCTTAAACTAATGTTGAAGATCGGCTCAGGAGACTGAAAGCTGATAATGCCTGTGCCTACGGGCATTAGTCACGTCCTTTCTCCTGAGTCGGTCTTAAATGCATGTTTAAGACCGGCCAAGCACATTATTCCCTTATTTAAAAATATCAAGGTAAAATTTCACTTTCCTTCGTTTGGAATGTCAAAAGTATTTCTAAACATTTTTGCAAGCTTCAGATCACATGGGATTTACATGTACCCTGACCTAATATCTTATGATTGGGTACAGAATGACCTTTGTATCTCTTCAAACAAACAACTGAATCACGGCATAAAGTTTGAACTGGTTTAATAAAAAGCTGAATAAATGGAAAGCGTGATAAAAGTTATCTGAATAAAATATACACACATATAACAGGAATATCAGTTTTTACAGAAACACTAATGCAACATTAACACAATTTTTTCATGTCAAAGAATGCATTTCAAAAAAGAATCACTTCAAGCTAGCATCAGCCTGGTTCTACTATAAGTTCAAGCAGTCGGTGTTTTGCAAGTTACTTCTATACTATAGCTAATTTGTACAAGTGTCACAGAGGGATGTATAAACCCAGGTTCAGAAATGTATAGGTTAAGCCGCACATCCCAGTCTCCTGTTGTGAAACTGGGGGAGGGGGCTCGAGTATCATCGGTCAATTCTGGTCCAAGCCTTCCCTTCCCCCTTGACAAATCCTGGGTGTACCACCGAGTCAAATATATTTCAAATGTCGGAATACCAGTGAGAGATCCAGATATATTTAAAATACAAAATGTGAAGGGGGGGTCATGGTTGTATGTCTTTTTATGAACCTGGGTCTACCCTTGAATACGTGCAGGACGGTTTGTTAGCATGATGCCATCTCAGTCTTGGCTTCTCCATATTTGATAAAATACACACTTCCTTTATCATGCCTTATCTTTCACTGACTGTATTTCTATAGCAAGAGCAAAGCTGTGACATATTTGGGAAAGAACTTAATGGGAGATTGGTCTACAAGCCGGAGGTGAACAGCTTGTTGCTATAAAGTTGAAACTGACTGAATGTAGCTCAGTCAAAGGGGATTATCCTGATAGTACAAGAATCCCTAAGATGTGGTTCCCTCTGCGGCTTCAAAGGTTCTGCACTGATGTAAATACAAGAGACCTGAACTGAGCAGCTGGTCAAAGAGATTTGCTAAACATTGCCAAACTACAGATCGTCCTCTCTACGATGAGGGCCCAATTTGTGAAAAATCTTCCGCGGCAACATAACCATCCAGGGATTAGACACAGGTTAAAACATCTGGGAGTTTTTTTCTCTCATACTTTCATTTCAAGATCCATCTACAGTCACCCATACCCAGCGTGATAAACTGTTTGATGTAAGGTGTTGTCCTACTGATTCATAATCCCTCTCCCTTATATGGTAATGAACATCGTCGTGCATTAACTATAGAAGTTCTGTCCTTATTTACAAATTATACTGACCTTTTGTCCAGGCAGCACTGTCAAGTAACTGCTCATGAAAATTTAAACAGAAAATGCACAGACCTTAAACAACCCTCGGCATACAAAGTAATGTTGACATCCACAGACACCCAAAGATTTTATGGAGCAGTGAGAGAAGTTACAAACTTCTCTGTGCATTCAATACCAAAATCTGAAATCATACTTCACTGATTCGTGACATCCTCTAAATTATCAATAATGCAAGGTGAACCTTTTCCACCAAGCTCTAGTGGACCACTTTGACGGTGTGGATGTTGGGTGATGCCGCCAGGGTCACACGCCCACTCTGCCCTGGAACCTTTCTCTGGGCTACGCCCACTGGCTGCTGGCTTGACTGGCCAGCCTGGTGATGCGGATGGGTCTGGACATTTCCTGGCATGGGTTGCTTGCTGCTTCGTTGCGACGAGTCTCCTGCTGTCTGAGGATACTTGGAAGCCATGGCATGACCAATGGTTTGCTGTTGAAAAAGAAAAAAAGAACAAAAGAAATGAACGCTTGAATGACGTGTACGCCATTGATTCACAAATCAGAAGTGAATGTTTTCTGCCACGCGTATCTGTCTAGTTAACTCCGCTGTATATTACACACATATATAGACTGGCAATAAAGTCACTAGTGCATATCTATGTGTCCCAAGCACAGACATATAGACATATCAACTTCACTTTTGGGTATAGGGAATTTACGCACAGTTGAAGAATTCCAGCCATAAAATCCTATGAAGCCGTTTTCCGATTGTAAAAGAAATCCTTTATTTACTTTACTAATCTAGCCTGTGTAGAATCAAAGCGATCCATTTGCAACATTTGAAAGGAAGTGAACATAGTTTGGGAGCACATGTAAACACATGTACATGCAGACAGTCTAGGTTCGTTGCACATAACACGCACTGAACGCACAGTCATCCATTGCTTCATTCACTGTTTGCCCATACTTGTCAAATTCACGGTTACATGCTCAACACGAGAAGGTTTATGCATTTATACATGTATGTCTGTGGTCCTAAGGGACGGTGAGAGACCAGAAAAGGGTTCTCTTTCCCGGGGCCATGGCCAAGGAAAAGGGTACATGGAAATCGAGAATAAAAAACTACATTCAGTTAAATTGACTTTCAAATTGTCCGAGTTTGATTTAAGGGCTTACTGTACATGTAAATGAAAATTCATTTCTTATCTTCCGAGGAAAAAAAAAAAATCCTTAGTCAGAAGTAAGGCAGTGCTCTAAGGCTTACAGACACTTTCACTGTCTCGCAAAAAGGTCTGCAGTGCGTTTCCCCACCACGAGGCCTAGAGCTGTGGACCTACTGTTTCCAACTGTGTAAGTATACATGTACCCTCTTCTCTTTGCTAGCAAACTATACGACGGCGAAACTAGGCCTGCAAAGAATGCTTCTCAGGCAAAAAAAAACCCCAGGCACTACAATCTGGACTGGGAGTGTGTCTTGCCACTGACACTGGAATGTTATTGTTGCAAAGCTGACCTGTGTGACTGGGCGATGTCTTTCTACCATGACAGAACTCATAGGCGGGGCTAAGGTGGTGTCACCCACCTGCCCTGCCTTGCCACTGTCTGGGCGTGTTGAGATCCTAGCTGTGATGGTCTTGGAAGCTTTGTAGCTTTGACTCGTCCGGGAACTGGTAACCTACACGTACATGGAGCCATTTACAGTACAATTACCATCTTTCCAAATGAGATTGAAGTATTCCATGTACATTGTACAACATGTCCCTTCGTATCAGTCGAGGTGGGATTTGTGGTAAAAGAAACTTCCACAAAACATCCAGATGAGGAATTTTAACCACTTCCTGCTGGGGACTCCGGGATTGGAGATGTATGGTTTATATGGGTGGCCAGGGTCTCCGAACTCGGACAAAGGAAACAGGGCCCTGTAACAAAAGACTGTACTCCGAACAAAAGACCAGGCTGCTGGGCATTACGGACATTTTTCACTCTCAAAAGTTGTGATAATCCAGCTTTGTTTTGAAACCCTATACCAGGGTTTGGGGCATTGAGAGCGAGCGGATTACCAGCGGGGACAAAAGCGCTCCACCACCACAGCGATGTGCCACATAGCACCGCTGCACGCTAATCTGGCCCCTATTGAAAAGAGGTCAGCAGTGCACTGAGCCAGGTTCGTGAACAAAAGACCATTATATAACACCGCACAATCTGGGCTCTGTTTACAAGGCTGCAGGCCTGGCTGAAATACTCGGGCGTCAATGAAGGTCGCCTATCAACTTAGAGTAATGCCTAAAGATTACTTCGTGCGGCTATAAACGACGGTTAAATGAAATGATGAATTTTGGAAGGATTTTGAAAATGGAAAAAATGAGTCATGCCGGCCCAGCATCGTCAACATTGAAAAACGCCCCTGCATGAAGTGGCTAATGGTGAAAATAATTCACCTTTTTTGAGGCTTGTAACACCTTAACCACTTGCTGCCGGGTGTTTTTTAAAATGCAGTGCACACATACGGGCCATTTTCAAGATTTTTTGTTTTCAAAATTCTTCAAAAATTCATCATTTCATTTAAAGGACGTTTACACCCACACGAATGACTGTTTGGTGGTTACTCTAAGAAAACAGGCAACCTTCATTAACTCCTGTAAAGAGAGCCCAGAATTGTAAGGTGTTGCATAATTTCCTTTGTTACCAGTGAATGCGAGGGGCGTCTCTTCAGACGCGGCTGAATTAGCAGGCAGTGGTTCTGAGTCGTTCATCAATGGGGCCCTGGACCACTTTTGTCCGCGGTGCTAATCCGCGGGTGCGCTATGCCCAAAACAGTGGTGTACTGTTTAAAAACAGCGACAGATTACCTTCGAAATATGCAAGCCGAAAAATGATGGCAATTCCCAGCAGCAGGTCTTTTGTTCCGAGTACAGTCTTTTGTTACACGGACCAGCTCTTTTGTCACATTTCAGGCAGCCTGGCTCTGCGTATAAACCCGTGGTGCCCGAAAGGAGGTTCCCTGGCAGTAAGTGGTTAACAATGCATGAGGTTTCTCACAAGTATGGATTTTGGACCTTTTTTGTGCAAAATATTAACAAGCACCAAACTATGACTGATTAAACATCTAAAAATACTCCATTTTGGGACCTAAATCCTGTAATCTAGAAAAATCTCAAGAAACTAAGTCATTGATCGGGTACTCATCGCTTTCTGAACGACTCTGAGAAACAGTTTGCAAGTTGTTTAGGTGAGAGTTGGCATCAAAATGCTGCTCGGTATTGATAAATCCTTGGACAAGTACCAAAGTAAATGATGAAGTCTCAAAATAAGTGAAACAAGATAGATTTTCAATTTGCAAGGTGAAAACCGTTAGGGTCAAATACTAACGTAGCTGCAGACCACAGCTTTTGAAAATCTTTGCTGCCGCCTGAACTTGAAGTTCAAATGATTAAAAGCATCCTTATGTAATAACCCATGTGCTCTTGGTGTATCACTTTTACCTTGCTTGACGACGCTCCCACTGCACTTTGAGTCAATGTGCCCGGGGTTGTCGCACTTTGGCTTGTCACTGTCCGTGGCTGGGGTATCGCCTTGGTATGTGTCACTGGCTTGGAGGTTGTGGGTATACTCATGGTGGTTGCTGTAGGCTGATGGGTGTGATCCTCATCAGGAGCCCCCGTGCCGCTGCCATTTCCTGGCAAACAGATAAACGTGCAACAAATGAATGCTTCCAAACACAGGTTGTTCACTTCAGATACATGTAGTTACACCCGTCACACAGTGCATGAATGATAGGATTTTCTTCCCCAAATCACTTTCCCTTTCATGGTTGGATACCCTGAATTGAAGGTCCGTGGATTTGCAACGTCAAAATCACCTGTGTTGCTCAGCTGCATGTAAGTTCAAAATTCTGTTAATAATTACCTTCGTTTTCCTGGAACATGGTCATAGCCTCAAGATTAAGAGCGCAGACACCTCGCATGAATGCCTTTTTCATGGTCTCTTCATACATTTCCCGTTCAGCGTGCAAACGTGTTACCTCAGCCCGCGAGGACTCAAGGGCTTCGTTCACCTGATTAAAAAAAAAAAACGTACTGAATATAAACAACAAAGAAAGCTTGCAAAAGTGTTACCAAGGCCATGCCACCGGTCACACCTTTAGAACGTGCTGCCTAGACACCATAATCAATGCCCACAGATGCATGCCTACTACCGGCCACGTCAGCCAGTTGATTCAGACAGGGTTGAACTACACCAGTGCATTTTTCTTCCAAGTCCTATGCAGAATTGCTCAGTGATCTGTTAGGATCCGCTCTTCTGGCATGACTTTCTAACTTACAAAGAGACTCTGCAAAAATAGTGCGGCATGCAACTTGGACTTTGACCAAAAACAGGCCCAATTTTAACGAAATTTTGTTTTTTTTTAATTTTCAAAGACATCAGCATGAAGTGAAAAACGAAGGAATAAGCTAATCCGGGAAAAGTTGCATGCCCGAATGCTATGACCACCCTTACTTTGAGTACCAGTGCGCAGGGTACCAGGGAAAAGTTGAGTAAATCACAGCCCTGCAAATAATGCTTTGGCACAATTTAACACGAGAGTGTTTAAGTGAACTTTTACACGTGTCCAGTATGTAAACAGAATCCCACTACCGTTGGGGTTTTTGTTCCTCAGTTTTCAAAAGCCACTCTTTTCAGTTGTCATATCAATGGCTTTTGTTTTTCGTTTTTAAATTTATTCACTTGCAATAAAGTGTAGCATCATTTAATCATGCACACAAAGAAAAGGAATCATCACGTCACTCAGTACAAAATTCAGATGTAAGAAACTTGTTTGCCAGGTCTGGTGTGCAGGTAGGGCATACACAATGTGCACAAAAGAAGTCCACATAATATAGAGTGATGGTGAGTATATGGTTTCAGAGGCATTTTGGGGTCAAGGTTATCTGGGGCAAAATGAAGAGGAACAGTCCTGGAAATCATCATCAAAAATCCAGCTTGAAGGAGTTATCCTACTGGAGAAAAAGGAGCATTTTCCTCAAGTTTCTTTAACTACAGGAAAACAATGGAATGTCCATACTTTGCATGTAAAACAGGTACATGTATGTGTGAACAGGTTTTGCTTGACCACACAGGACAGAACACAAAGGAAACAAAGTGCGTTGGCCTGTCCTTGGTGGTCAATTTATTGTCCTCAGAAGTGCATGTAAGTGCCCGTGGTTAGTCTATGAGAAAGTGTTATTTTGTTGGAACAAAGGCAAACATAATGCCTTCTCCTCAATGATTTAGCAAAGCACAACTGTGTGGCCTATTAAAGCAGGATTCATCTGTACATGCTGACGTGTACTCACAGAAGCCAGTCTTGTCTCATAGTCGTTGGTGAGTGACATACACACTTCTTGTGCTTTGGACTGGCAGGCTTTCTCCACGCGCTGTTTCCATTTGGCCTCAATCAGACTGTGCCACGCATCCCAGACTTTGGTCATTAAACGCCGCTCCCGCTGTCTCACGGCTAACTTGCTGGTGAAGACCTAGCAGAAAAAGGATCTTGAAATGGGACCACCTCTCATTTTCAGCAAAGTGTCAGCTTGTGATAGAAATTGACATAAACAGATCTTTGATAGCTGTTAACTGAAATTTGTACAAATCCAATGCTTTTATTTCATCTCTGTGCCGTAATGCCAATATTCAAATATCATTATTAAAATGGTAAAGCTCAATGAGGACAATGCCCCCCCCCCGACAAAATAAAGTAGATTCCAAATCTCAACAACCTGAACACCATTATCAATCCAACCTATCAAATTTCTGCAAGTTACATTACAGGACTAGATTTCTCTTTATGTGTACTTTAAGTATATTCCATTTTTACGTATTCATTTTTAGGGTCTGGTGAAGTAGGATTTTTCTATTGGACTGTTGCCTGGCCAGTCCATTTGGGAAGTCCATTGTACTAACATGTCTGTGTTTTAAATTTCATATTGAAACTTCTATTCAGTGTGATAACACTCATCCACAAACTCTTCCACATTTTGTATCATATCTAAAATGTAACAATTTTGAATGTTGCATCCAAGAATGCACTATTAGCAAGAGCACTATGAGCAAAGTTAACTGTACATAAACAGTACAAGAACAGTTAAAAGGGGGTGTGAAAAAGTAGCTTGGTACATAAATATCTGGAAGAGCGTTACATCGGGGAGGGCTGCAATGGGAATCCACTGTGCCTACATGGGAGTTTGCTGACCCTTGGAGATGTTAATGAGAATTGTCAAAGCAGTTTACATGTACAAAGTCTATTCAAGTACATGTAAGGACTTCATAGGGCCAACTTATTATGCATGATGAAAACCTGGTCTGAGTGGTTGTAAAAGATGTACAAGTGTGATCTGTTGGCCGTAAGTTTTACCGTAATTTTCGGAATATAAGGCACCGGGATTATAAGGCGCAGGGCTTGAAAATCTTCAGATTAAGATTCAAAGCTTAGCGTATAAGGCACACTATGGTAAAAGGGGCACCATCACATGTGTCGGTAGATCGCTGCAACATGAAAGACTACAGCAACGGCTCGCCAAAATGGGCCCTTCCGCGGATGGGGCTAGTTCATGTGTGAAGGGAGCATTGCGAGTTCGGCGAGGCTTATTCGACCACACTTCTCCACAAAGGCCCTTTGTAACTTCAAAGAAAAGGCTGAAATAACGTTGTGAGTCTTGTGCCTGTACGTCAAAGTAAGAATATCGCTAGATGCTCCATTGTTTATTATAAATCAACTAGGCATTTGTGACCTGTACACTATTATTTAACCCAGATAAATCTTTTGTCCGCCCATCGCTCCCGCCCGCCCTCTAGAGGCGACGGCGTGATAAAAATAATATTCCTGCGACTGGGTAAATGCAAGTGGATTACCAGGAGAACGTTATAGGGTACTAAAACATTACAAAAATGGTTGCATAAAGAAGGACAAAATTCTTATAGATGTGGTAGACGTGAAAGTTTCACAAGCAATAAACACAACAGACAACAGGAAGAACTAACAGACGCACCACAGCGATTTACGTGGTGTTTGACAAAAACTTGAGGTCCACGGTTCCGTTTGTGTGACTGGTAGTTGGTTACCTGCTACTACTAGTGTCAGATCTACGGCTTTGCACGGTCACCAACGAAAAGAGCTTTCAGCTGCCTGACCGCCGGCCGCGCGTGGTATTGAACATAACTACCGCATCTTTCACGGTAAGGTCATGGAGGTTGAGCCCCGATTCCTTCAGGCCGGTTCCACCTTTCTGTTTTGATCTAGGCTTACGATGCTTCCAGGGAATGAGCAATTTTTCATTCCCGAAAGATGCAAACTTTGTCAAAAACAGATTAGTGTTATTTATTCTTCAAAGCTCAGCACATAAGCCGCCCGGATTACAAGCCGCTCCGACCATTTTCACGGGCAAAATCAACGTATAAGCCGTGCCTTATATTTCAAAAATTACGGTAATCAATAAAAATCAGCTTTCCTTTTTAAGAAAGGGCGGGCTGTTGTATTTAAAAAAACACCTTCCCTTTT